CACACACACACACACAGCAGCAGTGACACGGGCAGGGGCGGCGACTTGAAACGGCGTGACCGGCAAATGCCCCCTCGCAGCCGTCGGCTCGCATCACTGGCGGCTGGTGTGAACACGTGCGTGCGTGTGTGGGGGTGTGTGTGTGTGGAGGGGAGTGTGTGTGGAGGGGGAGTGTGTATGGGGGGAAGTGTGAGTGTGTAGGGGAATGTGTGTGTGTGGAGGGGAGTGTGTGTGGGGGGGGGGGACTGTGTGTGGGGGGGGGGGGAGTGTGTGTGGGGGGGGGGGACTGTGTGTGGGGGGGGGGAGTGTGTGTGGGGGGGGGGCAGTGTGTGTGGGGGGAAGTGTGTAGGGGAATGTGTGTGTGTGGAGCGGTAGTGTAGCGGTGAGCGCGCTGCGCTATGAACCCGGCGACCCGAGTTCGATTCCCGCTCACGGCCAACACCAGTGGCGATTATCTGAACCGGTCCTGGGCCTCCCCTAGGTCGACTCAGCCTCAAATGAGTACCTGGTGCGGTGTGTAAACATCACCACTAGGGAGACAAAGGCGGTCGGGCGTGGTGCTGGCCACCCACCCTCTCGTGTACCGTTGCGGCCTTCATAGGTGCTCGCTAACAGCACTTGCCCCTACAGTCTGTTAAGGCTATATGGGGGATCTTTATCTTTGTGTAGGGGAGTGTGTGCCAGGCTAGGTGCAGGAGGTCTCGGGACAGACCCAGCAGGTGCCATGGGTCGGCTGACTGAGATGACCGGTAGATGCACCACCAGCTGTACCCCAAATTGTGCCAACTCGCTGTATTTTACCCGCCCGTCACTCCGCTCGTTGTTGTGAGTGTCGCTCCTCTGCCAACCAGTATCACCCCCCACGCCTCTGGTGTAAAAAGGGGGGTGACGGGGCGGTCACACACGGGGTGGGTGCTGGGGTTGGGTGACATACGGGCCTAGGGTTATGGTTAATATGTATTGTATTTCCTTAATTATGGAAGCCATCAGTTAATTGATCGGGCAGGGAAGGAGGCCCTTTAGTCGAGCCAAGAAAGAAAAGAGACGGAATATGGTGGCGTGGAAAGTTCGGGACATTTATTTCATTCGAGATGTTAGGCACAAAAACAGAACTGTACGGTGAAATATTGCCAATTCATTGTTTTTTTGTGTCACGGAGAAAGGCGTACAGGCATGCCACAACAGAAAAATTCAATTATTTCACAAAGCAGCATTGTAACCTTGATTTGAAGCTTTCGTGACTGCAGGAATCCATACTCTTTGGTTATTTCGGTAAAGTCACGTAGGTAGATATAAAATAAATATTTTAACGTCAATGATACTTTTTTCATATGATTTTGTTTTATTTACATGTAAACTAATGTGATCACGTAATGAGGCTCTCCCCCCACTCTCTCCCATTCGTGCTCACAATGCAGGAGCCAGTGGTTAAATTCAGCCTTGTTTATTTAAATATAAAAAAAATAACAGGGAGGACAGAATAGCAAACCAGCGATAATAATGGTTCACTATCCCTTGAGTCACGTCACGTAGTTTGCCACGTCGGCTGTCGCGACCAATATTATTAATAATAAAGGTTTTTTTTGGGGGTAATTCTGTTTTTTTGCTGTGGTTGTCCCACCTGATGAAGGAAGCTTGTGTTGCCTCCGAAACGTCGTGATTTAATTTAGTTATTTTATTTTTTTATTTTTCTTCCTATTTTAATTATAATTTTTTTATTTTCACCCACGTGACTTTACCGAAACAACCAAAGAGTATGCACCCCCCCTCTCCCCCCCCCTCTCTCTCTCCGTCAGCGAGTGGAAGCTGTGCGCTGTGCGGCGCGTTCCAAGTTGAAATTATTATCGTTTGTCGTCATTATTATGAACGTGATATTATTACATTTCATTTGTTTAACCGGGGCCCCTTGCCAACCACGCTCTAACCCCACCACCATAAATATGAAACGCACCACCTCAATAAAGAACCGACCGTTGGCAAACGAAAGAGGCATTTTTAAGGCCAAATTAGCTGCACTTAAAATTCCCCTATAAATGTTTCTGCCCTGTAACACGACTGCCTCTGTGTAAACATCCACACTGCCTCCACTGCCCGGCGGGAGATGAAATTCTCTAGAAAGGGCATCAAGTGAGGATTTCAGCCGTTACGCAACAGAGTGGACTTTTATTTTTTTACAGAACCAGCAAGACCCAGGCAATGATTGCATAAGCCTCCATCTGCTCTCTTGGAAAATAGAAATTGACTAGCACAAGAATCCACATCATCGCCAATTAGTCCCATGAAGAGAATATTGGCAAAAGGCAGTGATTTGAAATTTATTTCACAAACAAAACATAAGTTTAACTTTTAGTTTGTAAATACATTCTTTTGTATTTTTTTGCTGTGTTTTCAAGTTGTGCACCACATTCTAGATTTGAAGCTTTCGTGACTGCAATGATTCATACTCTTAGGTTTTTTTCGGTAAAGTCACGTAGGTAAAAAATGAAATTTAAATTAGTGATTTTTATTATTTTATTTATTTTAATTTCATTTTTTACCTATTTGGTAAATTTAACCCGGGTCTCCAGGTTCGTGGAAGAGTGCCCTAACCGCTGAGTGCACACACATGCATACGTAGGTGATTGCAATAAAGATACTTATTAAAAATGTAACCAACAACAGCATAAGGGATCACCCGAAGAGATGCATCAGCTCATTAGCAAGACGGCCCGATTCCCTTCCGCTTGACTAATTTATCAAATAAAGCAATGTTTGCCCTGAAAGCACTACCCATAAAAGTTTTTTTTTTTTACGTGACTTTCTCACACCGCTGTTCGTGAAAGGACCTCCGCATGAGGGAGCTCCATTTGGCCAAAGCCTCCACACCAGCCAGAGATGTACGTTGAACTTCTTTCGCACCGTACGTAGCCAACCATGCTAATCCACGTGCCACGCTTTGGCCCACTGCACGCGACCTGCCGATGTCACCCGACTGTGGTCTTGCACCTTTGTACCGCTGGGTGGAAAGAGGCTGGCCACATCGGTGGGAGCTGCCACGCCGGGAGATCAAATCAAACCGACGACCAAATTTTGATTTAAAGCTTTCGTGACTGCAGGGATTCACATTTTTGGTTCTTTCGGTAAAGTCACGTAGAAGGGAAATGATAAAATAATTAAATTTCTTGCTGTGGATTTCATACCTGATGATGATTGCTTGCGTTGCAGTCGAAACGTCATGACAATTTTTATTGTTTTATATTTTTATTATTTCATTATTTCCCTTCTACGTGACTTTACCGAAAGAACCAAGAATATAAACCGACGAGCATTGGGATCGCAACAAGGGTGGAAAAAACCCGATTTTTTTTTCGTGCAAATTTTATCGGATTATAGGTTTTACATTTTTAGTCAACTCCGATTTTGGCGGAAAAAAAACATGGTTTTAAAGACGACGACCTTCTCCGCCGACTCCACGCTCGGGCGGCTGCTCCTCCTGCTCATCTCGGAGTGAACGAAGGCCGTGGTGGTGGAGAAGTTCCTCTCGGACGCGGCGCTGGACGTGGCGACGCTCGACAACTCCACGGCGTTTTTTGCAGCTTCGGGTCCACTCGCTGCCATCGGACAGCCAAGACTCCATCGGCGTCCCACCATCATCTTATAGCGGAACGTGTTGTGTGTCTTCTCTTTGGCGGGGGACTATAATTATAGGGATTAACAGGCAATAAAACCGGATTTTTGGCCATCTGAGACGATCGTTTTTTTTTATTAAAACCATGAAAAACCCGATGGAATAAAACCCGATGCCGCCAGCCTTGGATCGCAAGTCCAGCGCGCTGGCCATTTGCATTGTGGCAGCGGGGTGGGGGGGGGGGCAAATTGTGTTTATTGCGGGGCCACAACTGCCCCAACTGGTGTTTTTATAATTATCAACAAAAAATAAACGTTATAAAAAAAATATATTGCCAGTGACTTGGCGGCGTACAACAAGTTACAGAGAAGGCGTTCCGAGAATTTGTCCACCGGGGGAGATGGAGCGATGGAATCAGCTCGCGTGCACGTGCTCGACCATTCGTTGCAATGGACAATCGCGAACGGCGGCGACGGCTTGGGCAGGCCTTCATCCAGCAGTGGATAGATCGTGGCCGATGACGGAAATGTTTCACCAACTTATCGGTGCGCAGCGAAGTTGTTGGTGAAACGAGGAGTCAAAATTTAAAGCCTCGTGACCCATGGTCATCAGGTCAACAGGACAATGGTGGCCCCCACCCCCTCCCCCACAGCCCCCCCCCCCTCCCCCACAGCCCCTCCCCCCCTCGACCGCCCCCCCCCCCCACCCAAGGTTGTGTATTATTGTGCTTTGCCGCCGCAACTTGACGATGTTATTATCTCCCGTGAGCCTTCACGAAAAAAATGATCCTGCACGGTATCAATGCCGCCGTCTGTACCCACCCTCCACCACCACCACCCCCTTGAAAGGCTTTCGCGTGCTCCCACGGGCTGAGATCCGCCGATTTAGAGTTGTATAAATTCAGAACGAAAAAAATGCGCACGTATATTACAGTTTAGTCTCGAGGCTTAACGCAATTTAATGACCTTTCTTTTTCATGTTTCCTTTTTTATGATAAAGGTAAAAATGAAAGGTTTGCCCGGAGCAAATAGAGCTTCCTTCCAGCTGATGGCCATAATTATGGATGTGAAAATGCATTTGCGGAGCTCAGAATCAAGTGCACTGCTGCTGCAATTGGCCCCAATACTGCTCCTAAGTGTGATGGGGGTGTGAGCACGGTTAGTCTGGGCTCGGGCTCACTCGCTCACTCACCGATTGGGGCTGCAGTCGCTCGCTCACTACTGCTACTGTGTGATTACTGTGCGCTGACAAACTTCACCAAAAAAATTCGCTCCGGTCACTCGCTCTCAACGGCGGTCAGTCGTCTCCCGATCAATCTTCTGTCGCTGCTACCCTGGTTACTATTACCCTTGAACTTCTCTCGCTGATACCATCCACCCACGCCCCACCAGACTCACTGTTTTGTCCCGTCCATACTGCGTTGAACCGTCACCTCGCGCTGGAAACTCCGTGCTAGAGACTCCGTGGTTACTGGCAGAGGTTTGTGCCGTGAAATCCATGTGTGTGTTGTTCTTCAACGCTCATGCCCTGCCATCACCAACTACATGGCTGTCAACCCCTTATCAGTGCCCTACCTTGTTACAGACCAACTCAGATCTTACTGGTCACCACTTTGCCCTCGCAAATCTCAACGTTCATCCTACAAAGTCACATCACAAGGGAGAAACACAAACAAATAGACACATTTGTTTTGCCCGTATTGAAACGGATGCACACCGTATGGACCTGAAAACTCAATTTCCCTGTACAAGAATACGAGGTAAACCGTATGGGTTGACAGCTATGCAACCAGCAATGGCAGTGTGGTTAACTGGCATGTTTGTTATATACATGGCAGTAATAATGAAAGTTAATCATTTCATAAATTGTAATGCATCGAATCGCCAATTCCTAAGCTCGCGATAAATGCATTGCATCGTGCGTGTAAGAGCCCAATTCTCTTTTCGCTGCGTTGCGTGCACAACATGCCATTTGGATTTATACAGCAGCATCTGACTGCAAATGCATCTCAAAAGGCTGTGTAAAGAACAGCGAGCATGTTTATTTCGTCGAGAGAGGCTGTCAGTCATCGGCAGAGGGCATTAGAGTTTCCTCGAGTAGAGAGTGATTGGAGGGGAGTAGCGTGAGATGAGAGGAGAGAGGCAGGAGAGTGCGTGGAGGGGAATAGAGTGAGATGAGAGGGGAGAGGCAGGAGAGTGCGTGGAGGGGAGTAGAGTGAGATGAGAGGAGAGAGGTAGGAGAGTGCGTGGAAGGGAGTAGATTGAGATGAGACGGGAGAGGCAGGAGAGTGCGTGGAGGGGAGTAGAGTGAGATGAGAGGGGAGAGGCAGGAGAGTGCGTGGAGGGGAGTAGAGTGAGATGAGAGGGGAGAGGTAGGAGAGTGCGTGGAGGGGAGTAGAGTGAGATGAGAGGGGAGAGGCGGGAGAGTGCGTGGAGGGGAGTGGAGTGAGATGAGAGGGGAGAGGCAGGAGAGTGCGTGGAGTGGAGTAGAGTGGGATGACAGGGGAGAGGTAGGAGAGTGCGTGGAGGGGAGTAGAGTGAGACGAGAGGGGAGAGGTAGGAGAGTGCGTGGAGGGGAGTAGAGTGAGATGAGAGGGGAGAGGTAGGAGAGTGCGTTGAGGGGAGTAGAGTGAGATGAGAGGGGAGAGGTAGGAGAGTGCGTGGAGGGGAGTAGAGTGAGATGAGAGCGGAGAGGCAGGAGAGTGCGTGGAGGGGAGCAGAGTGGGATGAGAGGAGAGAGATAAGAGAGTGCGTAGAGGGGAGTAGAGTGAGATGAGAGGGGATAGGTAGGAGAGTGAGTGGAGGAAAGTAGAGTGATATGAGAGAGGTTGGAGAATACGTGGAGGGGAGTGGATCGAGATGAGAGCAAAGAGGCAGGAGAGAGCGTGGAGGGGAGTAGAGTGAGATGAGAGGGTAGAGGCAAGAGAGTGCGTGGAGGGGAGTAGAGTGAGATGAGAGAGGTAGGAGAGTGCGTGGAGGGGAGTGGATCGAGATGAGAGGAGAGAGGCAGGAGAGTGCGTGGAGGGGAGTAGAGTGAGATGAGAGGGGAGAGGCAGGAGAGTGCGGGGAGGGGAGCAGAGTGAGATGAGAGGGGAGAGGTAGGAGAGTGCGTGGAGGGGAGTAGAGTGAGATGAGAGGGGAGGGGCAGGAGAGTACTGGAGGGGAGTGGAGTCAGATGAGAGGGGAGAGGCAGGAGGGTGCGTGGAGGGGAGTAGAGTGAGATGAGAGGGGAGAGGTGAAAATGAGTCACACGATACAATCATTAGCGTCGTTATAGTTAAATATTTTAAAAAGCAGATGAAACACTGCCTTCCCATATCTCATCCTACACATCAAACAATAAAACTATATATTTTTTACACATTCCATCTGCTACACAGCCTTCTGAGAGTAAAATTAATGTGTTTTTTTTACGTTGAGCAAAAATGGGTGTATGGGAAGGAGACGCATTTTATGATAACAATTGATTTTTAAGGGAGCACACGATAGAATAATCTTTAATTGAAAGCAACGCTGTATTCCGATATCCAAGGAGCACTACGGAGCCAAGAAGCCACCCCTCCACTGTAGAAGTGCCAAGAACTTGCAACAGCTGACACACGTGCAGAATGACAACATCTAAAAGGCACACCACTAACTTCTGATTGACGTTACATTCGTGTACAGCATTGTTGACGCAACATCGCTTTTTACGATACGCTATAAATACTCATGCTATGACAATTATCGCGTGTTCGCGTTCCTATAACGAACAAGCGTTCGTTTAACACTTTAATGATCGTGCTTGCTCTTTAGAATACTTTAAAAAGGAATAAAATGCGGAGCGGTAGTCACTTCGGTGACATTTTGAGAAAGCCATTTCACGCTCGATGGAAGATCGAGGCCGGCCCTCGTTCCTTGTTTAACAAACTCTGAGCCAGTTGTGGAACACATTCCTGCGGAGGGAGCTGGTAGGAACGTTGGGTTGCTCGGTCAATGGCCAGGGTCAACGGCGGCGTGGTGTATTCCGCAAATATGGCCGACTGCAGTCACGAAAGCTTTAAATCGAAATTTCTATAAACTCTCTCTCTCTCCTACGTCAGCAGTTCTCCTGATGTGTTAGTTTCACCTGATGACGGTTGCTTGTGTTGCGATCGAAACGTCGTGGTGGTCTATTAATTTCCTATCTACGTGACTTTACCGAGAGAACCAAAGAGTATTTTATCGTGGGCCCTCATATCGTAGTATGGCCAACATCGCGGCCAACACCTTCACGCGTGCGTAATGTAGGCTCCGATGCTGTCGGTGTGGAATTCCTCGACGAAGTTACTTCCGCTTGATTGGATTTATTTTTTTTTGCCGCACGTGTTGCGAGATGTGATTTGACATCAATCATAACCGTTTAAAATACATGTCGTGCGTTTTGTCCACCTGTTGTGGTGGCCACGTGTCCCCCGCCTCTAAGCCACCGCTTCTGTAAGCCAGCATTTTAACAGAGGGGGGGGGGGGGTGTCATAATTTAATTTTTTTTGTTACAGAACGTGTAAATAAAAAGCGGCCGTGACAATTTTCACCTATTCTTTGCCAACGATGGCTCGACAAATTCGCATCTTCACACCATGAATCCTGAGGGAGAGGACAAAAAGAGAGAGATTGTGACAAGCCTAAAACCCAAATCTATACCTTAATTACTCATCTGCTTGGTTCTTTCGGTAAAGTCGTCACGTATAATGGAAATAATAAAATAATAAAAATAAAACATAATAAAATAATTCTCACGACGTTTCGGCCACAACGCAAGCAGCCGTCCTCAGGTGGAGAGCAGGTCTATCTCTCAGGTGAAGAACAGGTTTGTCTACTCGACAGACCTGCTTTCCACCTGAGGATGGCTGATTGCGTTGTGGCCGAAACGTCGTGAGAATTATTTTATTATGTTTTATTTTTATTACTTTATTATTTCCATTCTACGTGACTTTACCGAAAGAACCAAGAAGATGAATCCCTGCAGTCACGAATGCTTTCAATCGAAATTGATTACTCATTTCACCATTAAGTAAAAAAAAACCCCCACCACATGAATGCATCAGTCTAATGAAGGAAATAAATGAGGCAATGATATTATTTCCCCGTTATCACCATTGCACTGTACTGCCATCACGTTTAAATTACATCGCTAACTAAGGTGGCACCCACAATTTCAAAGCACAGAATTAACATTTTGCACAAACCATTTTATTGCTGTTGCTACTGCCTGGTTACATCAAAATGTGCAATAACTATATCCGTGCTCAATAAAGATAATGACCCGCTGGTTTGTTTTTACTTGCATTTTAAACACAGCTTAATGATCGAACAACTGTACTTAAATCGTAATCTCATGTTAAAATGTCCATTAAGCTTCGCGTGCACTGGAATGCATCGCAATGTTGAGTGGCCTGACTCCCCCCATAAAATGGTGATGATAGAGAATGCGATTTTGTTACATTTTTTACGACGAACCCATAGAGGTGGAACAATTTCTTCCCTGCGCAGACAGACATTCGCTGAATTTGCTGCCATTCAATTATTTTGAAAATTGCGGTGGTGAATTGGTGAACCCACTGCTCTGCTAGAAACGTAAATAAAACAAACACCCATCGATATTCACGCACGCAATTGGACGTATCGATGTTAACATTGACGAATCATTGTCATGTTTCACCCTTGCTGATCCAACTCAGTTTTGTTTTTGCTCCAGCTCACGTCCTGCGTTGGTTTGGAAATGGGAAAAACCGCGGCGTACGAATTGTAACGATCGCAAACTCCCCTCGCACCTCAACAAAACACGTTCCTTCGGAGTGGGCAGGGAGGAACTTGGTTGGACAGCACATTCGTGCACGACAGACGAAGATGCACGACAGACAAATAATCCCTGGTGGGCAGTGTGGAACCTGTTGTTCCTACCTGTGTACAAGATCACTTGACTTGAGGTAGCCAGGCAGCCAGCCAGGTAGCCAGCCCCCTTCACTATCGGCCCCCCCCCCTCCCTCAGGCCCCTCTCCTGACTCCCCCCTTCCCTCAAGCCCCTCCGCTGACCCCCCTCTCCCTTAGGAACCTCCCCTCTCCATACCCGGCAGTAGGTCTCCACCAATCAAAGAGCTGTTTATATTATATATATGTATGCACGACAGACAGTCAGACAGACAAATAATCCCTGGTGGGGAGTGTGGAACATTGTTCCTACAAGTATAAATGCAACATGCATTGCCGACGAGAACACGCGTGCGTGGAGGGCGGATGTCAGCCGCAATTGATGATTGCAACCGGTGGTTAAATATCGAGTTGGTTCACAATGCATTGAATCGACGCACAATGCATTGAATCAAAATGCATTATCCATCCGCCAAATGTCGTGTGGTTCGGGCACCTGGTCGACTTCCCCTGGAACTCTACGGGGTCCAGGACACGCTGCTGGTGGTGGGACGATGTCGCTCGGCTGGCCTGCGAACGCCTGGGAATTGCCCCAGGAAGAGCTAGGAGCTGTGTATAATAGTGTAGAGTGTAGTTTATAGTAGTGTAGTGTATAGTAGTGTAGAGTGTAGTAGTGTATAGTGTAGTGTACAGTGTAGTAGTGTATATTAATGGGTAGTAGTGGAAAGTGTATAGTGTAGTAGTGTATAGTCTAGTAGTGTATATTAATGTATAGCAGTGTATAGTGTAGTATATAGTGTAGTGTAATGTAATGCTAGAGTGTCGCCAGGGAAATGGAGGTGAGGACCGCCACTACTCAACATGCTGCTGTAGTGTATAGTGTAGTGTATAGTGTAGTAGTGTATATTAATGTATAGTAGTGTATAGTGTAGTATATAGTGTAGTGTATATTAATGTATAGTAGTGTATAGTGTAGTAGTGTATAATGTAGTATATAGTGTAGTGTATAGTGTAGTGTATAGTGTAGTAGTGTATATTAATGTATAGTAGTGTATAGTGTAGTATATAGTGTAGTGTATAGTAATGTATAGTAGTGTATAGTGTAGTAGTGTATAGTGTAGTATATAGTGTAGTGTATAGTGTAGTGTATAGTGTAGTAGTGTATATTAATGTATAGTAGTGTATAGTGTAGTATATAGTGTAGTGTATAGTAATGTAATGCTAGAGTCCGTCGCCAGGGAAAGGGAGGTGAAGACCGCTGCTACTCAACATGCTGCCGCCTCGACCCTCACAAGGACAAGTGGATTGATAAACGAACAAATGAACAAATGTTGTGTTTGAGGCCGGTAAGGAGCTCTCCGCTGAGCCAGGGTGAGAATGTTAAGTTATGCCCTTAGGGGCCCGATTGGTTTCTTTTTTGCACTGGTCAGTCAAAAATAAAACAATCATTGGTGGGGACCTTTGACAAGCGCGTGTGTGTTTGCGTGTTGCAGTCATCTCAGTCAGTCGACCCGTGGCACCTGGGTCTGCCCCGTGACCTCCGGCCAGCGGGCGTTCGACACTTCACGTGGCCTCAAGGTGCACATGGCCTGGCACAAGCGTCGTGGGGACGTCACCGCCACTTAGTGGCGAATGGCGGTTGTTGCTGTTGTTGCTGTACACTGGCATTGGCTTGTCGTTCGTGGTGAAGGTTACGAGTTTCACACGGTAATTGCTCATTGAATATCATCGCCAAAAGGTGTGGAGGGGAAAAAAAAACTATTTTTTTATGAAGAGGTCAAGGACTGAGTTGGGTCTTTGTTCTAAAATAATATTTTCTTCCATTTTTCTTTGTTAAAAAAAAACCCGTAACAGTTTAAACTAACCATTAAAAGTTTACAAAATGTTAAACCAAGTGGGAAATGTAAGTCATTTTCTTAAATACGTTTTGCCATTTAAAATCTTAAATTCATTGAAATATGCTGCTATCAGAATGTTTTTTATTGACACTCCTATGCCCCTCCTGCCCCCCACCAGTTAGCTAATCGTTACAAACCCAGTGACACCAACCAAGCTTTTAATAAACCGAACACTTTAATCCAGAATTGGAGGATCATGCCGAGATAAGAAACGCATGGTCTGATTGAAGCACACGGTAAAAACAAGTGGCGCTGATTACACGACTGATCTGCGTGGAATTCTCAGTGTGGCTCTTATGTTTTGCCACTTGAAAGAAATCGAAGCAGGTCCCTCCTAAAAAAAAAGTTCCTGGCGCTCCATTAAGCTTTAATTGTAACAAAAATGTTTTATCAAATAATTGCCGCACTGAATCAACGGCAATTATTATCAGCCTGAAAAGGGTACCGCAATAAAAGTGGCTGCCGGACCGATAAAAAGGCATTGACAGTACCCATCAGGGCTCCTCTGACCAAAGTACTCATTAAAGTGTTATGCAAAAATGTTCAGATGTTTGCGGAGTCAAAAGACAGGTCAAATGTGTTAGTGCATGTATGTCTTTCTAATTAAAACGAGACCTTTTGAATGATTAATTTGCGTATAATATAGTTATACACGAATGTTTTTTTTTTTACAAACTTGAGAGTAAAACTTCTCCTATCAGTGCAGTACGAGGACTAATATCTTTAACAGTGCACATTTAAAAAAGGAATAATCCATATTTGGAGTTTGACTTAAAGCCTGTAAAAGTAATTAAGTTCAAGAGATCTGAGAGGGATATTTAAGGTGGATAGGTCATGGGGTCTTTTGTGTGGTTTCTTTTCCCAGAACTTTGCACAGAAAATGGGGTTCGTAATGACTCCCTGGAAAGTTATCTGTTGGAACGAGACCAAATTTGCTGAAATTTTACCACAAGGAGACGCAGAGACATTGTTTAAATAAAGGCAAAAAAACTATTTTTAATTGTGCGAATGGTCAGGTCGAGGTGAAGCTCTGCAATTCCTTTGCTTCTGCCACTAGCTGGTGGAGGAGTGCCAGAGGTCGCAAACGGGTTTTGATTCCTTACCCGTACCCATACCCGGCCGCACCAGGGTCGCAAATGGGTACCCGTACCCGTACGGATACGGGTGCCCGTACCCTACCCAAAATGAGTGACAAACGGTTACTCACCAGTGACTCACAGCCTACCCGTACCCGTACCCGGCCGCACCAGGGTCGCAAACGGGTACCCGTACCCGACCGGGTACGGGTAGCCGGGTATCGGGTATCGGGTACCCGATTGCGACCTCTGTAGAGGACCTCTGCTCGAGACAGCTTTAGAGAGCACTTGGAGTTACATGTCCTGACCAAGCCCGCTTACTTTTCATAATTATTATTCACTCAAATTGTTTTTATCATCCACTCTATCTCTTTGACCTCTCTCTCCATGTGCTATGAAGAAGACCCGTAGCCTATGTTTTTTTTTAAGGCCACAGCGTTATTGCGAATATGTTAAGTTTTGTTGTTGTTTTCTGTGATGGCACTGCCAATGCAGCAGCATCACAAAATCATTTTGTGTGCTTTTCATAAGTTTTAATTATGTCATTAAATCTCCGTATGGTCTCTAACCATGTGTTCTTCTTTTGGTTTCACCAATTAATTCCGTGCACGCATCTCCGAGCGTGGATCTATTCCTTTGGTTGCTTGCCCACAATGCTCCACAACATTATCTCATGAGTTTTGTAAAAAGTGAAATACTCAAGTTGTATTTGCGAACGGTTGGTATACATATTCACATAACT